TTGCTTTTTGAACCCGTCTTATAGACCTTAGAGGGAGCTAGGGACTGAGCAAACAGGTGCCTGTCTCCTGCCGAGCCAGAGGTGGCTGGCAGGGGTAGGAAAAGGAGAATGGAGGTGTGAAGAGTGGGAGCCCCTGGGGACAGGCAGACTGTAGGAGGCTGGGTGGGATGGAGGGGGAAGGCAGGCCCCTGCAGAGGACACCCCAAGGTTACCTTGGCCTGTGGCTCTGCCGGCTGGAGCTGCTGCCAGCGATGACAACAGCGAACCAGCAGCCTCTCCGAGTTTTATTATCATTCAAATGAGGATGTGGAGAGGTATTTCATTTGATTGGTAGAATAATAGGAGCCATTTATCTACCTTCTCTCAACCTTTCATATCTGTTTCACTATTTTATGGGATCGCATACATCATAGTAAAGGCAAAAATGTATTTTTTTCCCTTGACTTGGGATTGGGGGGTGCAGCAGGGATAGGAAGGAGGCTCGCAGAGTGGCTGGCAGGAGCCGAAGGAAATGAAATCGAAAAAGACTATTATTGGTGACAGACAGTTACATCTGAAAGGGAATAGGAAGCTCCCTGGTGCAGGCAAGGATGAGGCGTTTAAATGGAAGATCTAACAGCCTCCAGCTCTCGGTCTGTGGAGAGTCAGGGACGAGGGAGGCCTAGGGGTAGGGGAGGGAGGCTGGGTGGAGGGGGAAGGGGAGCAGGCGGGTCCTTGAAAGAGACAGCAACAAGGGGCATGTGGCCCAGCTGTTGGAAGTCTTTGTCTTTCTGCCGCTATGATAAATTACACATGTCATACAAGGATCTGTTCTCCTTTTGAAAAAGTTAGAGCATCCTAGGTAAAAGCCCCTGTGACTAGGGGCCCAGCCTCTCTACCCTTCCCCAGGGCTAACTACATTCAGAGCTTCTTTTCCTCTTGATTTTGCAAACATAAAGACACCTTTAAAGTGATGGTGCTCTTTTGTGGGTGACCCCTGCCCCTTTATTAAAAGGTATTGTTCTGTGTCATTCAACTCATGTCTTCTCACTCAATATGTTTTAGAGCTCGGTGTAGACACATGTGTGTCTTGATCATTCCTGGAACTGTCACATGGTCCTCCTGACTGACTGTCCGTGTCCCCTCAAGGCACACTTGAACCACTCCTAGCTTTTCACGATTACAAGTGACACTGCAGGGAATATCCTTGTCCTCTTCCCAGGTACAGGATAAGCTTTTCTTGAGAGCGGGTGAGCAATGAACTTACTGGAGCTGTGTGTGTGTGTGTGTGTGTGTGTGTGTGTTTACACACATTTTCAGCTGGATGAGACGCTGCTCAATCGCAGTGCAAAGTGCCTCCCGCTGTGCTGCTCTCGCTAGCTACCTTCAGGCACCACCTGCCACTCAGGTGATTGCTTGTAGAAATACAGGAAGGTTCTTTCTTGGGGTTGTCTTGGGCAGGATGTGGACAGCAGAGTAGCAAAGGCCTGGTTGGTCGGGGTGTCAGAGCAGAGCAGGATGCAAGAGATCTCATCTGTGGAGTGGCCCTGGAGCTCAAGCTATAACCCCACCAGCTATGTGGCAGGGGGATTCCAGTGACACAGGCAGAGAACAAAGAAGCATGATTCTGGCCGTGACCATGGGCCACAGGCACGGGCTGGAGGGTGGGTAAGAATCAGAGGACACTATTTGGCTGGCAGGTAGCTAGGGCCAGGGCAGTGGGAAGAAGGCAAAGCCCAACTCTGAGTGGTGTCAACATTGCATGGATGTGCAGGTCATGGTTAAGAGGGGTCCTCCAGGGTCCTGGCTTCCTGGTGACAGCTCAGTGACCAGGAGGGTCCACTGAACACAGCAGACTAAACTGCGAGGTCCGTGGCTGAAGGTCCTTGCTCAGGCCCCTGCCTCAGAACGGCACTGGGTTCCAGCCCTCAGGCATGGGTGCGGTAGGAGGAAGTGAGAAAGGGTGCATTGGCCTGATGGGGACTAGGCTTTCATATCTAGGAGTATACAGACCAGAATGTGCTCGGGAGGCAAACTGTAAAGATTATAAAGAGTTGCTTTTTTTAAAAAATTTTTTTTCAAGAGCTTTGAGATGTAATCCACATACCATATAATTTGCCCACTTAAAGTACACAATTCAACAGTTTTTAGTATATCCATAGACATGTGTCATCATAATTGCAGTAAATTTAGAACATTTCATCACCTCTAAAAGAAACCCTATAGCTATCACCTTCCTAGTTCCCTGCCATGGTTTGAAAGTGGATAATGTCCTCCAAAGGCCTTGTTCTCAGGGTGGCACTTTTGAGAAGTACTGTGGACCTGTGGGAGGTAGGGTTGTATGGGAAATCTTTAGGCTATTGAGCGTGTGCCCTTGAAGGAGGCTGTAGGGACCCTCCCCCTCCTTTTTGCTTCCTGGCTAATGTAGGAAGCTGTTTGCGTCATCATGTGCTCTTGCTATAATGTGCGGCCTTGGCCAGAGGCAACAAAGTAACTTTGAGGTGGAACTTGCAGGACTGTGAGCTAAATAAACCTTTCTTCAATAAACCTTTCAAGTTAATTGCCACAGGTATTTCGTTATAGTAACTTGAAGCTGACTGATATAATCCCCAGTCACCAATCTACTTTCTGTTGCTGTGGATTTCCCTTTCTGGACATCATGTGGAATCATATAATATGTGATATTTTGTGTTAGGCTTCTTTTACCTGGAGAATGTCCTTAAAGTTTAGTCATGTTGGAGCATGTGTCAGGACATCATTCCTCTTAAGGCTGAATGGTATTGCACTGTATGGAAAGACCACCTTTTTTTTATCCATTCATCAGATTGTGGGCTGTTTAGCTTGTTTTACTTTTATGAATAATGATTCTATAAACATTCCTGTATACATATGTTTTCAGTTCTGGGTACATACCTAGGAGCAGAGCTGCTGGGTTGCTTGGTAACTGAGAAACTGCCAGACTCTTCCAATGCAGGGGTACATACCATTTTTCATTCCCACTAGCTGTGAACACGAATGCTGAGGTCTCCACATTTCTCACCGGTACTAGTTGTGGTCTGACTTTTTAATTTTATTCATTTGAGGTGAGAAGAGTTGTTTTTTTTGTCTTTTTGAGACAGGGCCTCACTATGCAGTTCAGGCTGGCCTTGAGCTCACTTTGTAGCCCAGGCTGGTCTCAAACTCGCAACGATCCTCCTGCCTCAGCCTCTCTAGTGCTGGGATTACAGGTATGCGCCACCACGCCTGGCAAGAGTTTCTTTTTGAGGTAACTTTGAAAGCTAGTCACAGAGCTTGGTCACCTCTGGGCTCCAGAGCCCTTGAGAGTTTATCCAGGGAGAGACTAGCCTGCTCTCCACTCCCACATCAGTGCTACTCTGGGTAGGCTTCGTTTCAGTCGGAGCCTGACTGTGCAAACAGCTTCAGGCCGCTTCCTGAGCTGACCTTGGGATGTGGAGCCTCCAGCAATGCCACTCTGGCTCTTCAGTTGTGAGTGAGCGTATTTCCTCTTGTGATGAGTCACGGGGGCATCTGGTCACTTACAAACAAAAGATACTTGAGCAATGCCCCTAGTGCCTCTGAGAGGCTCACTGTGTGGGAGCCCACCAGGGGCCAGGTGACACTTTCTGATGGGACCAGGGGGATGAGCCCACTCTCTGGACTCCGCACATCTGTCCTCCCGCTTGGGAGCCCTGGAGGGACTGCTGCTCATCGGTTAGATCTAGATGGTGCTTCTGAGTTCCCCTCTCTCCCTGCGATTCCCAGACACCCCAGGTGCCTTCACAGACCTGCCCCACAGACAGGCACCAGCCTCTGCGGCCCCTCCCCGCCCAACTGGCTGTCCCTTCCAGCTCTTGGCACACAGTGTGGCCTCAACCTGCTTGGTTTACTTCATCTCAGCCTGAGGTGGGGGTGACACTGTGAAGCCCTTCCTAGTGTGGGCAGTGGGTGCCTGCCACCCCCTCTTTGCCCCATCACATTTCTCTGACTCACAGCAGCCAGGCCCCCGCCCTGAGGGACGCAAGGCTACACAGAAAAGCAAAGGGAAATCAGAGAAATCGCATCTAGAGCCTATCTCAGACCGCAGACTGGGGACACCACCCGCTCAGCACAGACAGATAAAGGTTAACAATTCCGTGTGGTGGGGAAGAGGAGAATGTGAGGGGTGAAATAAGTGAAGGGGGGCCCCCTGGAGCTTTCCTGTGTTACAAGTGTGGGGATGGGTGTGGGGTTCACATTCGGGGCTCCCAAACCCCTAGGTGGGTCTGAGGGAAAGTTAAGACCTGAGCGAAGCTGCACTGGAGATCTGAGGTCAGGGGTGCCTGGATCTTATTTCCTGGAGGGTGAGGCCCCCAGGTACCCCATGCCCTGTGAGGTATGGGGACAGTGTGGCAGCCTAGTGAGTACTCGAACCCCAAGGCCCCGAGGAGAACAGCTCTGCTCCCAAGGAGGGCCTCGAGGGGCCTCCCCGTTGTTGATGAGGGGAGGTCACAGCCAGAACTGCCTCGGCCCTTACAAACAGAGACCAGATGGGGACACAGACACCTACTCCGCTGCCAAGGCAGAAGAGAGATGACGGCCAAGAACCAGACGTCCTAGCGTATATCTTGGGGAACCAGTGGGGATGACACCGACCCGTGACCCATCTGCCACCCCTCCTGATGTTGTGACACCGCTCACATTTGCTGGAAGCCGGGGACAGAGCAGGAGGGGGAAAGGAAGCCTGAAGGAACAGAGTCTAAATAAACCAAAACGCTGAGATGACCGAGACTTCATTTCTGCTGCTAGGCAGAAAATGGAGGCTGGAAATAGAAACGAATACGTAACAGGAAAATGAAGGCGTGGTTTTGGCGTGCGTGCGTGAGTGGCCTGAACATTCATGCTCGCCGTCTGTGGTGTGAGTGACTCAGGACAGGGACTGGAGCACTCTGTGAGGTCACCGCCGAGGCGGCCACAGCAGGGCTCTCCCACCTGCTCCCTGGGCCATGCGGGTGGGTGCCCTCCGCACTGTCCTCGCAGGACCCTCCGCCTTGCGGCTCGCAAGTCCAGGGCTGGCAGGCTAGGGAGTCCCGGAGAGAGTGAGGGGCCCCTGCATCTTTCTGCGCCTAGGAGCTCCCTGCTCACTGAGTGAGGCTGCGGGGAGAGAACAGCAGAGCAGGTGAGAGCTGTATAAGCTAGAGGCAGGCAGGGACCGTGGGAGACCTCACAGGAGAAGCCTGGAGAAATCTGGCACCTGCATCAGCACCAGCCTCCTCTGTCAGGGACTGAGGGCTGCACGGAGAGCGCAGCGCCAGGCCAGCGTCAGTGGACTTGGGAGCAGGAATCAGTTCTGGGGTTCCCTGAGCCTTTGTGTGCTCACCCCAAACAAGGTGGGCTCTCCCGACCCACACCACTCTGGGCCGCTGTTCTGATTTAGGAAACTCCCCCCCCGGGCTGGCTCTGCCCTCCCTCTGGCTTCAGGTGTGCTGCTGTCTCCCAAAGGCTCCTGTGGTAAAGCTTTGGCCCCAGAATGGCGCTTTTTGGGAAGCGATAGAACCTTTGAGAGGAGAGACCCAGTGAGAGGTCCCTTGGGTCGCTGGGTGGCCAAAGGGGGTCATGGAACCCCAGCTGGACCTTTCTCTCTCTGCTTCCTGGCTCATGAGGTGAGCAGCTTTCACTGGCACACACTTGTGCTATGATATGCCACCCTCACCAGAGGTCCCGAGTGATGAGGCCACCTTGTCTTGTTTTAGAACTTCCAAAACAAGCTTTTCTCTTTATAAATTAATTGCCTCAGGCATGTCATTATGGTGGTATAAAGCTAAGATATGTGATGAGGTGATTTGGGCCAGCTCAGGACTATATTTTTGTACCTTTGTTGGAGCAATTGGTCAAGAAAGACTGGCCCTCCCCTAGGTGGCTGTGCAATGATTACATGGCCCACCAGGCCCTCTTCTTCCCGTTCTCTTTGTGCTAAGCCTAAGATGCCTCAGTCCCTTTGCACCTGCTGTTTCTTCCCCTGGAAATGCCTTTTCCACTGACCTTCACTGTCAGCTCCTTCTTCACAATGGAGACTCAACCCAGGAACCCCTTGGTGGAGGGACCTTCTGGGTACTTCTCCAAAGTCCCCCAAAGTCCTGCCCAGGGTCCTCTGCTTCCTATTCCTAACCGTGCTTACTCCTGCAGTCACTTTTAACCTCAGTATTGACCACATTTCCTCCTCCTCTCATACCAGGGTCCAAGGGCAGCGGCCTTGTCTGTATGCTCACTGTTGCCCCCTCAGTCCCAGGGCAGAGTCCAGCACCACACAGAGACCTAGAAAGTTCCCGTGCCCCAGACACCAAGGGCAGCAGCAGGCAGAGTTTCCAAGGTGAGTAGACATGGTTCTCAGATCTTTAAAGACTAGCTTCATTTCTAACTCTACTAGAATGCACTACAAATCTGGTCAATTCGGGGTCTCCTCAAGTCCCTCCCTTCTCACCAGTGTTGCCCTAAAGCAGGGGAAGGTCCAGCAAAGATCATGGCCCAGAGCACCTCAAGCCTGTGTCCACCTTCCCAGAGGTTACAGGCCCCCCACACTGGCTCCTGCCGATGTGACCCCAGTCGCTCCTGGTCTAGGATCCATTCTTTACCACACGCCCTTCTGACTGCTGGAGACCCCGTCACTTCCTATGGCCAATGTTGTAAATGTTACTTTAAGGCAAACATTCTGTCCCACTGGAGTGTGTGGGACCCTCCTTCAGCACCCTGAGAGGCTCCCGGCCTGACTGTCCAGATCTCTGCTGCAGGAGTAAGGAGGGGTTGTCTTCCAGGCTGGGGTGCAGGTGGTTAGGGGTCACTGTGGGTCTCACTGCTGCCCCTCAGAAGGGAGGCACAGTTGCCTTGCCTGGGATCCTGAGTCCACTTGGGGCAAACTGGCTTTCCTAGCCCCCAACCCCTCACCCTAGCTGGGAGGGGCACACTTGTCCCCCAGGCCTCTCCCCACTGCCCCAAAGCCGGTCCACTCATACCCTCTTGCTCTATGGGCCGGCAGGTCTCCTGGATGCTGGGCATGTGTGAGCGAAGACACAAGAGGTACAGGGCGTGGGGAGATGGACCCAAGGTACCAGGAGGCGGGACCTGCATGGAAAACAGCAGGAGCTGGGCATGGTGGCATACATGATAGTGCGCGCCTGTAATCCCAGCACTCTGGGAGGCTGAGGCAGGAGGATTTTGCAAGTTCAAGCCCAGCCTGGGCAATTTAGCGAGCTCTGTCTCAAAATAAAATTTAAAAAGGAAGGAAGTAAGGAAGGAGGGAGGAAGGATTGAGGATGTAGCTCAGCGCGAAGGTTCTGGGTTAAAAGATAAAGAAAAACGAAACAAAACAAAGCAAAAACTCAAACCGCGGCAGGACCAACAAAATACATTCCTGCTTTAGACCGATGGAGGCTATATTGTAGCTCTGCTCCAGGCCGGAGCCGCCTCAGCTCAGGAGATGGGACGTCCGGAGCCCCCAGCTCCTGCTTCATTGCCTCCTCGCCTGGATCCCGCAGTCACAGCCCTCAGCCTCCTTACGCGCACCTCCCACCTCCCCACTCTGCTCTGCTGCAGTTCATTATTAAGTCTGTTACGGAGCAGGGCGAGCGCGGTTCCCGGGAGACGCCGCAGCGGGGGAGAGACCCACCAGCCTGGGCCCTCCTGCGGCGTGGCCCCCGGACAGTGGCGGAACTGCGAATCCCGCCACGCTCAGCCGGCTCAGGCTTAAGGGTCAGGGGAGCGGTCGCGGGGACGCGCCTGAGCCAGCTGGTTCCAGGGACAGCCAAGGAGGGCGTCACAGGAGTAGCCCCTGGAAGCGGGGCGACACACTGGCCCTGTCTCGCGGGCTCCACAGCTCGGTTCTCCACGCGGAGACTGGGTCTGCGCTGCGCTCTTGAGATCGAAGGGGTTTGATAGGCCGGGACCCAGCAGCAGGGGGCGCCAAGCAGGCAGGCGGGGTGTGCATGGACCCCAGGGAGGGTGCATGCGAAGCAAACTGGTGTTACGTTTAAAAACGGGAGCGGGGTGGTGGTGGGGGAGGGGGAGATCTGACTTGCTGGCTTCTTGTGCAAAGCTGGCTGTCAACACGAGGCAGCCTTCTCCGAGGCAGAGGTGGGCTGTGGCCTCACTGAGAAGGGGCCCGCCCCCTTTCTTAGCCACAGCTCTCCTGCTTCTGAACCCACCGAGCAGCCGCTGGACCCCAGGGAAGAGCTGGGTTTGAGGGGTGCTCTGCTCTCTGGGTCAGCTGGCCTGTGGGATTCTGGAGGGCACCCCTTCCCGACACCCCCGCCCCGCCCACCCAACACAGCACAAGGGCTGGCACATAAAGGCGGGGAATAAATACATTTTCGGTGACCAGCCCCGGCCCAGCTGTGAGGCTGAATGAGATTTTCCCATTTGAGAAGATGAACTGCAGGTCAAGGAAGCAGCAGTGTGGAGTCTGGGGTCCCTGGAGGAGTCTAGGGACTTAGAAGTGAGATCAGCCAGGGGTTCAGGAAGGCTGGGCTGAGGGGCTGGGGTTTGAGCCGGCTGCTGCTTTTGTTACCCAGTCACCTGAGTTTTAAAAACCAGTCTCAAGACCCACTCCAGATCCATTAACCAGACTCTAGAGGGGTTGGTGGGCAACTTGCAGTTTTAAAAATTCCCCCACCCCCGGTGATTTTGAAGCCTCCACAGGCTCCGGGGCCTTGGCTGGGAGGCGATTGTTTGTCCAGCTGCTCTAGTCCTCCTCCTGCACTGCTCTTGTCCCTCCTGGCCTGTCAGTCTTCCAGTGATAGCCAGGCCCTGTGGATCTGTCACCACATTTTAAGTAAGTTTTAGAAGGAAAGAAAAGTATGGAATGGCTGTGTTTGTTTTGCCCAAGCAAGATCCATTTATTAAGTGCTGCACTTGTTTAAGAAAAAAACAACAGCTATTGACAAAATATAAGAAAATAAATTAAAGCAGCAACTCCTTAAAAGGACCCTGTCCAATAATTTGATTTTTTCCCCTTCTTCCCTCAAAGGCCAGAGCGACACAATCAATCTTGCTGTTCCATAGGCTGTTTGGCTACAGCATTTTCTCAAGTGGAAAAAAAAAAGGGGAAGAAAATGAGTGTCATTTGAACACCAGCATCTGCCACCCTGTGGTGGGTCCTGGTTAGACCCTCTCTGTCCTGGGGCCCAGGCTTCCTGACTTCCAGCAGCTCAGCTGTACCTCCCCCCCACCCCGCTCCAAGGAACCATGGTACCTGGTTAGCTCAGGGCTCCTCTTGCCAACCCTCAGAATCCACAGGCCCTATGGGGACCCTCTCTTATTCCCTAGGCCTCAAGTAGGTGGGTTCTTAAACAGATTTCTCATCTTGACAGTCTCTTTCAAATATTTTTCATGTGTGCTGAGAGTAGACACGCTTTGCACACACGAGGGAGCCCCCGGCGCAGCATTTGGCTTCCAATGTATGCAAGATCTCAGGTAGAGGGAGCTCCCACATTTCCTGCCTTATAAGACCCTCCTCCCCCAAATGCCATCCTGTGGCTACCATCCGTTGTGGTCAGTGGCATACACTGGGTACCTGGCCCAGTATTAGTGGCACTCTGACCACCCACCTTGATTACAGTAACATTGGTAAGGAATCAAACCAGCTTGCAAGGCAGCCGACCCTGCCTGTTTCAGTGCAAGGCGCTGGTGTGTCCTTGGCCCAATCAATGCATCCCTGTCAGTTTGTCCACCCAGAGAGCAAGGTCGATAACACCCAGGGGGAGCTGTGAGGATGGATTGACTGAGCAGCCACGTGTGATAATAATAATTTATAATTGAGCTCAGTGCTCGATTTTGAGTTATAATTCTTTGCTGATACTATTCAGTTCATACTGCTGCTCAGATCTTCAGTTCACACTACTACTCGCCTTATTTTACAGGTGAGAAGACTGAGCTGTTAAAAAATTAGCTTAACTATCTATGTCTGATTGTATGTAGTAAAAGGGAAGAGTTTTAGGGGGTATTATGGTTTATATCTAGATGTCCCTCCTAAGCCTTATGGGCTCAGAGGTGGGGCTTTAGGGAAGTGGCTGGATCATGTGTGTATGATACTGGATCACGGGCACATGATAAATGGACCAGCCCACTGGCTGGTTTAGCGTAGTTGGGGGTGATGAGATTACTGAAGAGGGAAGCCCCACCCTGGGTGTGGATGGCACCAAACAATAGGTTTGTAGCCTGGAAGGAGTATAATAGGAAAGAAGAAAGGCAGGCTGCTGCTTCCTTCCCCCTGCCTGCCACACCATGAATTGTTTCTCCTCTTTGATGTCCCTCTGTCATGATGTCCTGCCTTGGAACCAGCCGACGACGGACTGAAACCACTACAAACTGAGCTAAAATAAACATTTCCTCCTTAATTTGTGGGTATGATGTATTTTGTCCCAACGAGAAAGTAACCAAGACAGTATACAGGACTTTCCAGAATCCTCCACCTCCTCTTGCTTATTTGTGCCCATTTCCTCTCTTATTTGTACCCATTTCCCCGCTTTCATTGAGTGTAGGCTCCACGGGAAGGCAGATGGTGCCACCTCCCACAGTGGAAGCCTGATGGTAGCTTGTCCCACACCATGGCGCTGGGAGTGACCTCAGCTGAGAGCCTTACGCCAGCTTTCAGGCCCTGATGTTCTGAGACCTTGACCCCCAGCTCCCATGGATTCTGGGAGCCCCAAATACAGCTTCCTCTTTTGCTTACTATGGGCAGCCTCTGTGTCAGTAGATTGCAACTCCAGGACTTCACTTGCAACAAGATAAGGGATTATAGTAACAGCAAGAGCAGCTATCACGTTAGCACCGTAACACCAAGAGTACCTTTGTGTTGGGTTCCCAGATAATGAACTTTAGTATTGTACTTCATCCTCACCACACTCCTACAACTGTCCCTATTTCACAGGAAAGGAAACTGCAGATCATATATTTTTGGAGTCTAGCTTAGATCACACAGCTAGAGAGAGGGTCAGCGGGTTCAAACTCTGCAGCGGTTGAGCCCAAAACGTTGTTCATGTCCCTGAATAAGGGGCCATACTGATGGCTTCAGCATGGTGCACGAATGCACACATCAAACCTGTTAAAAATTACTGGGGAGGTTCTGGTCGCAGGTAAGATGAAGTAAACACAGTCCGCTGTGTCTCTCCCCTGAATGCAGCTTAAAACCTGAACTGAACGCATGAATTAGCTCTTTGAAGTCTCTGAAAAGAAGACAATATGTCAGAGTAAGAGCAGTTCAGTGATAAGTCTATTCTTTTTGTTTTCTCCTTCCTGCATCCCTTGGGCTGAATTCAATGCAGCCCAAAACCTTGAAATGAGTATTAACATCAAGACAGAAAGCTCCAGGAAAAACCCTCTGATTTTGGCTGAACAACCAAGAAAGGGTTCTATTGCTCAGAGAGTATACAGAAGTTTCCTATTTTTCTTTTTACTTTTTTTTGTTCTTCTCATTTCCATTCTCCACAACCCCATCCCCCAAGCAGTCGTATGGCACTGCCAGCGGCAGCAAGAACTTGAAACTGCAAGGGAGGGGACCCTTCCTCTGCAGCTGAGGAGGCTGGTCTGTGAGAGTGGGCACCTCCCTGCTGCTTTACCAGCTCTGCTGCCTGGCTTAGACATGAAGTCACAGGAAGTGCACGGTGGAGAGGAAATGCATAAAACCCAGATTTCTGACCTGCAAATGAGGAACTTCAGTGAACTTGAAAGTATGGAGAAGAAAGAGCTGGGAAAAGTGACTCCTTAAATTGTTTGGGAACTCCTAGGATCACCCCCAAACTGTATATGATATGATCCTAACCAGCCAAATTCCTGGCTGGACATAGGGTGGCACACATATGGGACAGCTTGAAAACAGTGCTGCAAAAGCCTTGACAATTGAATTATATTTGTACTACAGCCCATAGGAAGTTAGTAGAAATGAAAGACCTGACCTGGAGCATCACTTGGCTGCTAGTAGAAAAATGCCAAAAATTACTCTGTAAAGGAAGCAGCAGGAAAATCTCAAGGCATTTGGGAAAGCCAGTGCTGAGATGCCTTTGCTAAGATGTCAAGCAAAGACTTTATATCAGCTATTATAAAATGACCCAAATATATAAGGGCAAATGCTTTTGAAATGAAGTTATAA